TGGGGCGCCTGGGTGGCTCAGTCGTTAGGCGTCTGCTTTCCACTCAGGTCGTGATCCCAGGGTCCTGGGATGGAGCCCAGCATTGGGCTCCCTGTTCCACGGGAGGCCTGCTTCTCCCTCTCCCACTCCCCCTGTTTCTGTTCCCTCTCTCGCTGTGTCTCTCTCTGTCAAATAAATTAAATCTTAAAAAAAAAGATTTTTATTTGAGAGAGAGAGTGAGCGTGAGCAGGGGAAGGGGCAGAGGTAGAAGCAGACTCCCCACTGAACAGGGAGCCCGATGCAGACATTTAACCGACTGAGCCACACAAGTGCCCCAAGTATGATCATTTTTAATGACATAGGAAAATGTTCAGTTTTATTATCCTATAAAAGAACAATTTACAAAGTGTACACAACACTGTATCACCTTTTTTAAGATGCAAAAACATATTCCAGTCTTCAGTATTAGTTATCTTTTGAGTCAGGGCCTTATAGGTATTAGTGCCCATATGTTTGCCTAAAAGTTATACAATTGGCATGTATTACTTTTGTAATTAAAACAGAAACCTACATCTATTAACATTATAAACTGAGGGGGAAAAAATATGTGGTTTGAGGCTAGTTCACAATCCTCAGCATTTTTTTGTTTTTGTTTTTTTATAATTTTTTTTTAATATTTTATTTATTTATTCATGAGAGACAGAGAGAGAGAGAGAGGCAGAGGGAGAAGCAGGCTCCCAAGGAGTAGAGAGCCCATTGCGGGACTCGATCCCAGGACCCTGGGATCATGACCTGAGCCGAAGGCAGTCGCTTAACCAACTGAGCCACCCAGGCGCCCCGGGTGTGGAGCCTATTTAAAATAAAAATTAAAAACCAAAACAAAACAAAAACATTTCCAACACCCCAGAAACTTCCCTCATGCTGGTCAATCTCCTCCCTTACCCCACTCTCGAGGCAACCACTGCTTTTTTTTCCCCACCATAAATTAGTTTGGCCTGTTCTAGAATGTCACATAGAAAGCTGTATTTATCCCAGCCTGCCCTTGACCTTGGCCCAAGATGCCCCTTCCATGTAGTATGTTCCTGGGTAGGGGATGCGACCAGGTGAGGCACTCTGTTCTCTGAGAGTAATTTCTAGGAAGGGACTCACTATGAGTGGCCAATACTCCCGGCAGCTGAGGAAATGAGCACCCCAGTCCTGCCTGTGGGTGGGATGTGGGGAGCAGACCATGGCATCCACCACTGTCTCCTTCCCTCCCCGTTACACAACAGTGATAGAGCTGTGAAGAGGAGTTAAGATCATGTGTTCTCAATGCCTGGTACATACTAACTGAATTATCTTATTATGTGGGATATAACAATCCCAGTGGGATCTGACTAATAAGATCAGGCTGGACTGTCAGCTCCCAACTCTGATTTTGTGTCTCTGTTCTAACAACCCAAAGTCACATCAGCTTTCTGGGATTCCCCACAGTCTGGTGATTCAATACCTCAATGCCTCTCAGAATTCCAGACTAGGCAGGAGCTGGAACAGGTCTCCTGAAACAGTCCTCAGATGCCAGACCTGCGCCTAGAGCCGCCATCACCTAACTCTTGCATTTTTGCCTTTCAGAAGTGCCAGTGTCGGCGGCAAAACTCATCTCCCCAAGGATGGTAAGGCAGCCGCTTCCAGTTTGGGCCCCAGGGTGCTGTCGTGGCCTTCCTTCTGCATCCATGCTAGGAAGCCAGCATTTTTCTTCTGTATACTCCCGCTCAAATAACTGATGGCTCCAACGTGGCTAGGGTGGCCTCGTGAGCCTGCATGCGCCCCAGGTTAGCCCTTCCAGGCTGAGTTGGCCCAGCCCCTTTGCCAAGGTCTCAGACTTGGCTTCCAGGACCTCAAGAGATCTGCCCCAACCTGGTCTCCAGTGAAATCCCCTGCCCAGGCTCAGCAGGACTGAGCATGCTCTCTGCTTTGTGTAGTAAAGATGGACAGGCCACGGGGTTCAGGCCAGAGGTACCCTGGTCCCCCTGGTGTGTGCCAGCCTCCCCCAACCACACCCCATCGTTCATCCATCCCTTCACTCTGGAGGACAGACACCAAGTTGTCCCTGAACCCTGGCTCCACCTTGGCCCTGGGTCTGATGTCCCCAGGGATCCCAAAGCAGTGGTGCTGGCCTTCCTGAGACCCTCAACCCAGCCTTCACCAAGGTGCACAAGGAGGCTCAAAGCCACCTTCCCATCCAGCAGCCTAGCATCTTCACTGTCAGCCCATCAGACCCAGGCCTATTATTGTGCCAAAGAGCCAAGTACTTCTACATACATGATTTCAATTAACCCTACGTGAGAAGAATACTATTATTCATTTACAGTGTTTGCAGAGGAGGAAACTGAGGATCCAAGAGTGGAGACAGCTCTCACAACTTCACACAGCTCATCAGTGCAGAAGTCAGGCTCTCGGTCTTGTGACCACCGCCCCAGGCTGCCTCTTTCACCCCATCCTGTCCCATGCTCCGATCCCAGTCCTGACCCAGCTTCCACCCTGACCTCAGGCCTGCCCTGAAACTCTTTCAGACTAGCCTCATTTAAGACCCAAGCCTTGTTCCATTTCTCCAGCCTTCCCGTACCAGGGGCCTGATGGGTCATGTCAGCCAGGGTGAGTGGAGGAGCCCTCAGTGAGGAGGGGCCCCCTGGGAATGCTGGTGGTTCTGTCTCCAGGGGTCCTCATGAGGACCAGCAGCAGCGGTTCTAGTTAGACCCTCTGAGAAGTGTGTGAACCCGTCCTAGGAGCTTGAGGGCATAAACTCACCCAACACACAGACATATACCTGGATGCCCGCACACTTGGGTTCAGCAGACAGATACACACCTGTGTACACAGCCACAAACATACCAGGGGGCCCTGAGTGGTTAGTTTCATGCCCACTGGACCAACACTGGGGCCTTCTAGAATCTGGCTCTTCCCTGGGGCCCCTGACTCCAAGCAAAGTCCCTGGGTCCCTCCTTGTTGCCTCTGAATCTCTGAGTGCCCTCCCCACTTCCTCTCTTTCACAGCCCATCTGTGAGCACATGGAAGAGTCTCCTGTCTGTTCCCAGACATCCAACCTGGTCTGTGGCACCAATGGTGTTACGTATAACAATGAATGTCAGATCTGCTTGATCCGGCTGTAAGTCCACCCCACTCCTTCCCCTCAGCTTGCTTGGGTGGGCCCCACTTCCGGTACGTTCAAGTGTGAAAGGAGCAAGACTTGACCTGCCTCTTCCTTCACACACCTTGGACTGAGAAGAGTCCTCCGACATTGGCCCTAACAGAATGAGCACAAGTATATTTCAAAGAAAGCGCATGGTTCTAAGTACAAAGCCACAACTAGTAGGGGGTTGGGGAGGGTGCAGAAACCCTGGGTTCTTTCCCTCGTTCTGCCCTTGACCGACTAGGTGACTTCATTTGTTCATTTATTCCTCCAGCCAACAATTATTTATTGAACATCTACTATATGCTAGGCACTGGGCATACAACAGGGCATAAACTAGACAGCAACCCTGGCCTTCTGGGGGCATATGGTTTAAGGAGAAAGCCAAGCTAACGGTCCACCAACTGTGTAGCATAGAATCAAGGCTCAGATGGGGGCACCCAGGGTTCTGTGAGTGCAGGGCAAGGACAAGGGCAGGGAAGACTTTCCAGCTCAGCTCTGAAAGATAATTTGAAATTAGCTTGGAAAAAAAAGGAAGAAGGAAAGGTAATTCCAAGTAGTGAAATGAGTTTGGAAAGGTCTAAAAGGGAAAGAAATGTTTGTATTTGAGAAAATATAAGAAATTGGATATGCTGGAGTATAAAGTTTAAAGACTGAGTGGGGAGAGGCAAGAAATGAGTCTTGAGAGGTGAGAAGGGCCAGAACGTGACCTTGGTATGTCTGTTCACCTATTCGATCTCCTTTCTTCATTAATAAAACCCTTGGGCTGGGCCAGAACTAAGCGAGATCATGGAAGAGAAGACAGTCTTCAGAAGCTACAGCACTCTGGACAGAGAGGCAGGAGAGCGACAGGACACTTTCCTAACTTAGCTGGGAGGCAGTGAGGGTCTAGATGGTTTGTGGGGCAATGATGTCTGGTGGAGGTGTGGCTAGAGTTCAAGACAGAGTCAGGGCTGGAGACAGATTCAGCAGCCATCAGACAACATCAGACATCCCGGGAAGCTCAGATCTCCCAGGGGAGGGTGTGCAAGAGGGAAAAGCTATGGAAGGTGTGCCCAGGGACCCCCAGGACGTGCCCTGTATCTACAATGGGTGGGGGAGGTGGGAAGAGCTCAGCAGAGTGTCTGGATAGACTGGGCCAAGCAGGGTCCCTGAAGAGTTTGTTCCAGTCCCTGATGAGATGGGCCTCATCTTTGTCTCCTGTGGTCCTAGGAAAACCAAAGAGGACATCCAGATCCTGAAGGATGGCAAATGCTGACCCCCATAGCAGCCTCTTAAGTCATGAAACTTCAGGCTAGAGAACAGTTTTGGGAGTGGAGGATGTGACATGAATAAAAGATCTAGCCCAACTCAGCCAAGTGAGCCAGTGTCTTTGGGGACTCTGGTGAGGTGGTTGGTGGTGGGTGAATGTGGTGGGGATTTTGCCCTGACCTCCCTATTTTGAATCTGATGTCTTCTCCATCGCTCCAGTGCTCCTCAACCCTGTCACATGCTCCCCTAGAGGTCCCAGGTCTCTTCTGCTTCTTGAAGAGGTCAGCCCCTGTCCCCAGCACATTTGTCTGCCCCAGCCTGTTTGTCAAGAACCTAGGTGACCTCTGTACCTTCTGCCATTGTCAGAGAGCAGGACCAGCCTTTGGGAGAGTCCTACACCCCTCATGGCCTTCTCCTTGGGTTGTACCAGCACCCCAAGTCTTATACACACACACACACACACACACACACACACGCTGATACTACTGTAGCTAATATTTAGGTAGTGTACACAGTGTATCTGAACTACTTGTTAAAATACTGACCTAGGTCTGTAACAGTTAAAAACAGCTGCCCCAAGCCTTTGAGTGTCCCCCTGCACCTTGGCCACCCACAGCAGGATGACGTCCAGACCCTGCTCTGTTCTTTTGGTCACCATCCATTCTGACTGTTAATGCTGGCATTGGCCACAAACCCAGGCATACAAAGCACACATGTGCCTATACAATGGCCCACAAAAACACACAGCATCCAGAAATCCCACCATAGAGGCCCTAGCCTATGGTCCATGTCAAATAACCCTCTTTTGGCCAAAGCAAATAGAAGGAGCCACTTGATAATTGTGGCAGAGGAAAAGAATGTGGAGAGGGGCCTGGCCAGCAGAAGCAGAGCCACATGGATTCAGATTCCCGCTTCAGGGTGGGCAGACAGAGCAGGAAATGTACTGTGGGAAAACACACTGGGAAGAAAGATGGGGCGGGGAAGGCAGGAACCAGCATTCCCCAGACGACTGAACCGTGGATGTGGGCAGAAACTGTTGCTGATAGATCTGCAGGTGGAAGGTCATCTATGGGCTCTGCTACTTACTGCTACTGGTAACAGAAACTTTTACTCCTCTCCTGCATGGGAATGATGCAGTATTAAGTTTGGCGGTGAGAAACCCAAATGCCAAAATAACAGTGGCTGAAACAGTTATTTCTCCCACACAGAGACCTATGCAGCATGCTAACTTCATGCTCTTTATATATTGTCACCCTGCTGTCCTCATCAGTTTCCCCTTCAATGTACAAGACAGCTGCTCTAACTCCAGCCATCATGTCTACATTCCAGTCCACAGAGAGGTAAAGAAGGGCACTCGACTGCCTCTGAAGATGCTTCCCGTAAGATGTACATACTCTGTTTACATCCCATTGCCTAAAATTTAGTCTCTTGGCCACGCTAGTACAAGGAGACTGGGAAAATAGTTATCTGGTTGGCCATGTGCTAAGCTGAAAATTAGTTCACTTATAGGAGGAGAGTGAATATTGGTGATCTCTAAGCCTCTGTCCTAAGTGGGAAGCCCCTCTTACACACAGGGGCACAGCTCCAGCCAAGCTTCCTGTTGGTGACACTCCCCTCCCAGGCTTCCACCCATGATGAGGAATCCCAAAGATTACACCTGAACAATGTGCCAGGCGCCAGGCACCACTGGAAGAAATACTTACTTCCCCACGTTACAGATGTGGAAACTTGGCCCTGTCTCTGGAAGCATAACTGTGGGCCCCTAAAGGCCCTATCTATAGCACATGACCCTGCTGCCCTGGCCATTACTGATCGGCCAAAAAATTCTCCCCCAGGATTTTTTGAATAGCAAATAAGGAAACAGGCAGTTCCTCTCTGGTAGTGAAGCTGCAAGATGTGTGAAGTGGGGGCTGACAGCCATGTTTCCCACTTTGTGGAAGAAGCAGGATTGAGAGAATGATGCCAGCATACAAAGAAAGAGATGCAGAGAGCGATTCAAGGCTGTGTTTGAATTCCTGAAGCCCAGCTGCCCTCGAACATCCCAAGGCTACATGGGATAACTTGACATCCTGCCAATAAATTTTCTTTCTTTCTTTCTTTCCTTTTTTTAAAAAAAGATTTATTTATTTTAGAGAGAGTGTGCAAGCGGGGGGAGGGGCAGAGGGAGAGAGAATCTCAAGCAGACTCCCTGATGAGTACGGAGTCTCATGCGGGGCTCAATCTCACGACCCTGAGATCATGACCTGAGCCAAAACCAAGAGTTGGATGCTTCACCGACTGAGCCACCCAGGCACCCCAGTAAATTTTCTATTTCAACAATCTCTTTGGAATTCGGTTTCTGGTGATTTCAGTTAAAAGAGTCCTGACTACCAAAGGAAGAAGGGCATCTCAGAGAAGATAACCTTAATGCTGAGTCTTAAAGGGTAAGTAGAAATCGTTGACTAAACAATGTGTGGGAGAATTCTTCCAGCCCTGTGAGGCTGAAGGATGTTTACAGGATCACAGAGCCCCATTGGCTCCCCTTATAGTAGGACTGACCATGTCTCAGGAAAGTGGGCAGCGAGGAGTGTTCTCTCCCCGTTCACAGGCAGGGACACCCTGTGGATGTGCAGATCTGGGGGGCGGGGGGGCGTTGTGCACACATGCCCAGTTGCCCATGCTATAGGGCCTCTCTTCTCCACCCTCAAATCAAACAATGGTTGTTGATGCTGTAAATTCCAGTGCTGACGGAGTGCAGCTGTGGGAATTTCATTGTAGATGTGTGCGATCGACATTCATTCATTCTCCAAATATTTATTTATTTATTTACTTATTTATTTATTTATTTATTTTAAAGATTTTATTTATTTGACAGAGAGAGACACAGTGA